AAATGGATCTCAGATCTTATCTCTGTGATATCCACTTCCGCGGGGCCGTTCCGGAACGTGAAGGTTTGCATGATTTTTTTTGCGAGACATCCGAGTGGATAATACGTCTGACGCCTACATAACAATTGGGATAACATTGGGAGGGACAATGGGAATTTGAGAAAAAAGGAGGGGTGACAGTCAAAGCTTATCTTCCACACACCGCTGGGTGGGGTGGCCAGACCAATACGGTGGCGATATGTTACCTACCTCGCCTGGTCTGCAGGAGCTCGTGGGTCCGATCCAGACCCTGCCGACTGTATATTTGTAGTTTGTGTGTCTCTCTCCCCGTGGTCGCGTGGATGTTTCTCCTCGCACTCCGGTTTTTCTTCTCCACATTTAGAATCAACGTGCATTTAGAGTAATTGGCTGCTATGCATATGCACGTGATAAGCCACTTCGTTGAGGTATCATTTGTGACCAGGTCGCTTCTGAAAAAGAGCTATATGGATAAAGCGAATGAATGCAGTTCATTGGAACAGTAGCCAAGCAGTAGTAGCGATAGAGAAGTGGTACGGAGGTGAATGGCCAACAGTGGGAGAGTGACTGGAGTGAATCAGCGAGTGCTGGACCATCCATCACCCTGACTGCTTTACTTGGAATTATATCAAGTGCGTCGAGGTAGGAACTAGGCGCTCCACCCTACGTATGACAGCAGAATTACAACTTTGGCCGAATATTTGTCTAAAGGAAAATGTCATCCAGCTGTGCTGGTACTCTGATGCAAGTCGTGACAGATTCGCACGTGTGTGTGTAGCAGTTAGCGCGCTGCACTACGAACCCGGCGACCCGAGATCGATTTCCACTCATGGTCACCAACACCAGTGACGATTATCTGAATCAGTCCTGGGCGTCCCCGAGGTCGACTCAGCCTCAAGTGAGTACCTGGTGCGGTGTGTCAAACATTGCCACTAGGGAGACAAAGGATGCCGGGCGTAGTGTTGGCCACCCCCTCATACCGGCCTTCATTAGGTGCTCGCTAACAGTACTTGCCCCAGTAGCATGTTCAGACTATACGGGGGATCTGTGTCTTTGCGTTTGTGCGTTTCGGTTGGCACGAGAGTGGGCACAGCTGGTGCATCTGCCAGTCATCTCAGTCGGTCAACCTATGGCACCTAGGTCTGTCCCGTGACCTCCTGTCAGCGGGCCGTCGACACTTCAGGCGGTCTCAAACGGCACCTGGCCTGGCACAGGCGCTGTGGTGACGTCACCACCACTCAGCAGTGAATGGCGGTTGTTGTTTGGGTTTGTGCATACACTTGTATGAAAAAGAGAGTGGTGGAGCATGGCTCATCAGTGGGGAGTAGAATCTGACCCTGTCTTAGGCATTACCATAAATGAGTAACTTTTATGGTTTGTAAATGTCAATTCTGGGGAGGCAAAAGTGCGTGGGTGTGGTGCTCGTCACATTACACTCATGAGCCATTTGTGGCCTAAATAGGTCCTGCCTTAAAGCCCTTTCCCCAAAAGTTTATAAGGGTTTTATGGAGAATTGTGTATGCATGTGTATGTAAGTTTGTAGGTATGTATGTACAGTGACTCGTGTTTCTAGGAAATTTCATGAGATGAAGATTATTTTGCAATACTGGAAGAGGGGACAACTCCATTTAAATGCATTGTCTTGAGCTGTATAGTTGTATTATTCTACTGACAAAAAGGGGGACTTTTAACTTTCCAAAATGCTGACACAAACCCCCATACCTCGTGAAAAGGACACCCTGGAAACATCTGAACAGGTGTCAATGCTAGATGTTAATCAGTTGCCACCTGCTTTACCAAAACTACGTGAGTCTTCCTAATTGCCTTCTATTAAATATTCAGGGTTATTACCTGTCTCAAGCTACATGCTTGTGAGACACTACGAAATGTAAATTATATAGAGTGAACGGAATGCCATATTCAGGCTTTGTTCTTGTTGATAATTCGAAAGGCAATTTCACTGCTCACTTTTCACCCTTTTTTGTCATATCATGAACATAATTGTGGCATATGCACAGGCATCGGTGCGGTGATGAGTGAACGGAGTCATGGCCAATGTCAGCGAAGTTTTGATATGTCAACTGTTCCTCCCTGTCACTTCACCAACGCGTTTATAGAGTATACATAATTGTATCAACCAAATGACCCCCACCAGCCAATAAGGAAAGGTGAGTTCTTCATCCAGCAATGGATTGACAAAGGGCTGTGAAATTATGATAATCTATATATAAAAGTAAAATTTGTGAATGTGTGTGAACGAAATGTTTAGCATACTTCCCAACAAGCAACAAACTTGAAATTTGGCATGTGGGTAGCTTCCAGACTGTACACAATGCAAAAAGGAATAGATTTCCTATTCGTGCTCAACCACTGGCAAAGATTTGTTGCACAAGTGTTGCAGCATATGTGTGGGGCCCACATCTTGTCCTGATCTCCAATTTTGCAGCCAAAATAAAGGTGATAGGCTTTCTTAACCGTAGTGGTTATACTGCGTATTTGTGATGCAAAAGTCACTTAATAACAAACATAGCAGAAGTTATCTGCTTTGTTCACACAAGTACGAGGCATCTCTGCTCACTTTGGCTAATCAGAAATGTGTCCCTTTGCAAAATCAAACACTGACAAATAAGAGAGCACGACACTGTATGATTTCTAGAGCTGATGTAGGGCAATTTGCTCAGCAGAGGGATGTAATCCTCGTTTTGATTGCATCATCCATGACTTCTAGGAATAACATGATGGAATTCATATCATGTATTGCACAATACCAGGTTCAGGTTGCATCATCCATTGTTTTGCTCAAAAGGCGAGTACTGTCCAAACCCAGTCATTTATTCAAAGATCCAGTCAAATATGCATTTTAGTCATTTCTGGTTAAAATTGAGATCCTTCCCTTTATAACTCACTTTTCTTTCGATTTAAAGCTTTCGTGACTGCAAGGATTCATCTTCTTTGGTTCTTTCGGTAAAGTCACGTAGAATGAGAATAAAATAATAAAATAAAATAAGACGATAAAATTCTCACGACGTTTCGGCCACAACACAAGTAGCCTCCAATTGGAGCACTGTTGTCCGACAGTTCTGTTCTTTCACCTGATGAAGGCTACTTGTGTTGTGGCCGAAACGTCGTGAGAATTGTATTGTCTTATTTTATTATTTTATTCTCATTCTACGTGACTTTACCGAAAGAACCAAAGAAGATGAACTCACTTATCCTCCGCCATTCCCAAGTCAGGGGTCGTATATACTGACCCAGTAGCATATCTTGGAATCTCGAGCCAACGAACAATTTTCAGCATCGTTTTCATTCTCAGTGACCCAGAATTGGTAAAAGTTCGACGACATTTATTTCGGAAGCATTTTGGCTGTAGACCAGTGTAGTTGATCTCACAGTCGTTAACCCATTCCTGGACTGCAGGACGTCTTGAAAGTCAGCCAGATTTTTGAAGGTGCATTGGCACTGACACCGCGCGGGCGTCTTTCACCCACGCTTTACGGAGGTCAATTAAATAGTGCACGATAACAAGATTGCCCACAAACATTCCAGAGCGACACGTGGAGTTAATGCGTAAGAACGGAATTTGCATGCGGCAGCGTTGAATGTCATCATTTGAGTAGTTTTCAAGGGAATTTGACGCAAGCAAAATGGTGTGTGTGTGTGCGCACGTATATATGCCGAGTGGGGAGCGGTAGTGTAGTGGTTAGCGTGCTCCGCTATGAACCTGGCGACCCGGGTTCGATTCCTGCTCATGGCCAACACCAGTAACGATTATCTGAACCGGTCCCGGGCCTCCCCTACGTCGACTTAGCCTCAAATGAGTACCTGGTGTTGTGTGTAAACATCGCCACTGGGGAGACAAAGGCGGTCGGGCATGGTGCTGGCCACCCACCCTTTCGTGTACCATTCCAGCCTTCATAGGTGCTCGCTAACAGCACTTGCCCCGAGAGTCTGTTACGGTTATACGGGGGATCTTTGTCTTTTATACATGCCGAGAATCGGATTCTGACTCAAAATTCCACGATGGCTTGATAACCTTGTTTTTGTAAGAACAAAATTACTATTTTAGTTGTTAAAAAAAAATAACCAGTTTAGTTATTTTGTTTTAATGCAAGATCCGGCTGTGTCCGTCCACTGCTCGCCGAGCTGCATTGGCTTCCGGTTGCTGAACCAATACGTTACAAGGTCGCGCTAATTCTACACAAAGTGTTTGCCACGCATGAAGCACAATACCTCGCTGATCTCGTCAAGGAGCATGCACCATCACGCGAACTGTGATCATCCTCGCAGCGGCTTTTGGCAACAAAGATGGTCGCTGCATCACGTGCTTTCAGATGCACTTCTGCGGCCGTCTGGAACGCTCTTCCTTCCGATGTTAAGAATTCACTGGGGCTATGCACTTTAAAATAATCTCGATTGGACAACTCCTTTCTTTTGAACTGCTCTTAGAGTTTGGCTTGTTGTTCTTCAATCCCGCACAACCGATTAGCAAGGTTGGCTACATACGGTGCGACACAAGTTCAACACACACATACGTATCATGAACATTGGAGTGACAATGCCAGTTTGTTTAAAGGTACATCAAAATTCCAAGTTTACAGTATAATTCATTGATGTTTTTATGTATTTATAATATTTTTTTACATACGCGTGCATACTCAATAAGCGCCTCGCTGAACGGGTGATTGTGTTATCTCTAATGCATATTTGCTTCATATTTTGAAAGCAATATTGTCAACTCTGCCAGTAACGATTAGACCGGGCAATCATGTTGGTAAAATCATTATCAATATGGCTCCCATTTGTATGTATGTATCAAGCAAACCAGCGTTTTATGGAATATATCTGTAATCTTGATTTACTCTTTTTATTTGTCTTTGTGAGGTCATACGAACAAACCACTTGCTTATATGCATCAAAAATGCACTTATTAAAACGGTATTCTTTTTGTGAAGCTAAGCATATTTTGTCCACTCTGTTTTCAGATAGCTTCTGTAAACCTTCCTGTGGTTACGTGCATCGCAAGAGTGTGTACGTGAGTACCAATCCCATCACTGCCTCTTGCTTTGATTACAGAGGCCAGCATGGATAAACATGGAGTGACTTTCAATGCTGTCAATACAACCCCTAGCCGCTCATAGATTTTTTTTCCCACAGCAATTTTTAAAATGCAACATCCTTTTTTTCTCTCTGTCGCTCTTCCTCTCGCTTTCCCCCCGCCTCCCTGCATCTCTCCGCTGTTGGCAAAACACATCTGAGCCATAAGTAACGATGATAGGACGGGGACATTTGGCAACTTTTGACCTGAGATCAGAGTGCAAGCGGGAAAAGTGTCGCAATAGCCAAACGACACCCACTCCTCCCTCCGTCTCCTACCGCCCCTTCCCACCCCACGGAATAACGCACCTGCGACTCAGCAGGCTCGAGGCATAGACACGATACAGATAGCCGGCACTCCAAGGCCGCACGCGTTGCCGCATGCACTATTCATCGGGACAATTACGCCAGTCCCCGGACAAAAAAGCCGCTGGCCAAAACGTTGCCGTGCATTTATGCCCCCAGGGCTCAGCGTCGCTTAAATCCCCAATTGGATTGTTCACTCAAAAAACGCTGACACCGCAATGGGCATTGATGTTTAATTGAGGTGATCAATTACAAGCGAATTAAGCCATGCAGTGCCATGCCATGCTATTTGGACAGTGTCCCGTGTAGTTTGTGTGTGGGGGGAGCGGTAGCGTAACAGTTAGCGCATTGCAATACAAAACTGGCCAACCAGAGTTCGATTCCCGCTCACGGCCAACATCAGTGACGATTATCTAAACTGGTCCTGGGCCTCCCCTAGGTCGACTCAGCCTCAAATGAGTACCTGGTGTGATGTGTAAAAAATCGCGACTGGGGATACAAATGCGGCCAGGCTTGGTGCTGGCCATCACCCCCTCGTGTGCTGTTCCGGCCTTCATAGGTACTCGCTAACAGCACTTGTCCCAACAGTCTGTTAAGGCTATACGGGGGATCTTGTCTTTGTTATGTGTGCATTTGTCCAATGATACAGTGCGGATGAAATCCAATACAGTTATTTTAATGCCATCAGAGATAGCGTGTGAGTGAACTTCTGTAGTAAATGGTTGTTTAATTATTAATTTAAAGTGCCTTGCTTCATTAGCCCAATAAACAATCTTATCATGCGACATTGTGTAAGTTAAGGATGCTCCCCCCCCCCTTTTTTTAAATACTGCAGTGCGTTTGATAGGTAATAGCTAAAGTTTGGCACGGCAAAGGAGATACAGTGGAGTGAGTGGGGTAACTCATAGGGAGGGAGATGATAGCGTGGCGATGTTGTGGAATTACTTAGATCATTAGGCATGGTAAAATGCGCCCCATAAATTATTTCCGAAATTGCTTTGCGAAAGCATCCCTTTGGCAGCTTAAGCATCCTTGTGTTGGGCATTTTTTGTACATCGTTAATTACAGCCATAAACATATAAAGTCAAGTCAACATTTACATTACACTCGCCGCCATCATCACAAATGCCACTGTTACACATTACGAACCTTTAAAGTGCCACTATATCATCCGCAAATCCCCCACGTACCGTTTCGCATTTTATGAGCAGCTATCGGCTAATAAGAAAATCAGGTTTGATAACCGCTGGAACAAAATAAAATTATAAACACCTGACCTTCGGGATTTCCAGTGGAATGTTTGTAGCACCAATCTCATCGGCAGAGGCAAACACGTGGCTCAAAGGTCAGAAACCGTGAGCCGACACCGCTGAAATCCTGGATTTAAATCCAGGCAGTTAACCGCTATTATTAAACCGGGTTTCTCAAGTGGCGTGAGTTGATGGTCTCAGCCCAGTCACCAATGACCGCACACAAAATGCATGACATTACAATTGGTTCTGCCCTTAATTTAGCTAAATTCCAGCTCTGATAATAAAAATAAAATCAATTTGACTGTCATGCTGTGTGGACCAGAGGTCACTGGAAGGCATCTCAGAGGTAGCTCTGTGGTGTCCACTTCTGTGGGGCAGTTCTCGAACGTGAAGGATTTAACTGCTCTGTGATAAATCTACAATTAATCCTTTGTCTTGTGATATGGCAGCGATATACCAAGTGGGGAAAAGTTGGGGTGGAGCGAATGACAAAACACCATTTTTTAAAATGTCACATTAGCAAGGCATGTCATTACAATCTAATACGATTAAATAGACTCCTGGCAAAGGTGCGAATAAAGTAAAATGCACATACTGTACGTACAAACAGCCAATGCAGAGCAAATACAAAAAAAACACAAAGCTTTTTATAGTTGTAATAAATACAGTTGGAATTAAAAAAATGTAACAACGTTAAACTTTCACTCGATCTGTCTCAGTTGTTTATTTGCCATTTAATCAAATTATTCATAATCTTATGAATGAATTTGTGTGCTGGTGAAAAGCAATATAAAAATTGTCAAATCTAATTCGTTCAATACAGCAGACATTTTTTTTACATCGCATTGAAGTTTCTTGCCTCGAAGCATGATTAAAAAATTGTGCATTTGCGTCCTCGTTCGGAGTTTACTCAGCCTCTTTCTCGGAGTGATGCAACAATTTGCAGCACTCCGATCGCTTGTTCACATCATTGGTGCCTCCACAATAGGGAGCTCTCAAGAGCCCTCTAGATGACATTATATATATCCTATGCTGGCCATTTTGGAAGGTGTGGGAGCACTTACACCAAACAGTGTCCTGCCGATTCACTGCGGTTGTGTTACACCACACAGTGTCCCACCACGGAGTGTCCCACCACACAGTGTCCCACCACGCAGTATTCCACCACGCAGTATTCCACCACACAATGTCGTGTCCCACCACGCAGTGTCGTGTCCCACCACACAGTGTCGTGTCCCACCACAAAATGTCGCGTCCCACCACACAGTGTCCCACCACACAGTGTCCCACCACACAGTGTCGTGTCCCACCACACAGTGTCCCACCACACAGTGTCGTGTCCCACCACACAGTGTCCTGCCGATCCACTGCGGTTGTACCCATTCACTGCTGGGTTGACAGTTGCAGGCGGAGTTCAGTTGATTTGATTTGGTATTCAAAAATGATCCCTTTTAGCCAGCTTCCCGGTTCTTCTACAACGGAGATCCGTGGCGCACGAGCACAGCAACAACAACATTACAACAACAACATAATCGACATTGCCCAGAAAGAGCACAGGGCCCTTAAGGAATCTTGCTCAACGAAGGAACAAAGTAGTTAATGTGAAAAAATAAGATAGAGGTTTTACTTTGATACTGGAAAAAACAAAGTTCCGTTTTAAAGGAGTTAATGGTCGTAAACGAAACACCACACGCAAATCAAAACAGTGGAAATGTAAAATGGAACAGTAAAGGTTAACGTGCAAGTAAGCTCTGTGTATTGGTTCAATAGGGATCTAAATAGGGGGAACGAAGGGATGGAACTCAGCTGTAGATGAGCTGCAGGGGTATTGCAGAAACGTGGAGAGGCAACGTGGTAATACTTTTTACTTCTTTTGCACCGGACGTAGCGAGCCGCGCCGATTGGACGTGTGGGGGAGGGGAGGTCAACAAGCTATAGACCCAACAAATTGGCAAATGGAATCTTTAATTGGAATAAGGAGGGAGTTAGAGGAACGAAATGGTATTTTAGGTAATTGGTGGATTTGTTAAAAATATATATTTAGGATGAAGACAGCCCAGTGATTGTCTCTCCGGGAGGGGGGGTGGGCAGGTTTGAGTGAATGTACTTGTTGCGATGATGAGTTCTAGAGGGGGTGTCAATGGTAAAACGGAGAGTGGAGTGGTAAATGGAATAAAACGATTTAAGATCGACTCGACAGCAAGGCGGTAGATGGTGTCACAATTATTACATATGGGCAGGATGTTGGCTTTAACAGCATTTACATATGATTGATGTGGAATACAGCTTTGTTGCTGTATAGGAATCCACTTTCTTGCATCTTATTGGCCAAAGGGTCGGTTACGTCGAGTCCAAGATAACGCCAATATATTTTAAGTCGTCAACCTGCTCAATAGCGCATAAGTTCACAGCCACAATATCTATAGGTGGCGAGACATGTTTGTGGAACCCAGAGAATAACAACACTTTGGTAATGTTTATTGCTAGGGACGCAGCTTCATGGCATTACGTTGAAGATTATTGAAGTCATGTTGCAAATACTGTTGTAACTCCTCCATGGAATTTACGGAGCCCATCAGGGCAGTGTGTCATCAGCAAAAAGGTTAATGTCAGAGTCATAGGCGGAGTTTTACTTCTATAAAGGTGTACGAATATTTGTTTTTTTTTGGGGGGGGGCATTGCCCCCCGCAAAGGGGCCGTCCATAAATGACGTCACGCGATTTTGGACGATTTTTGACCCCCCCCCCTCGTCACACGGCGTCAACAAATATCTGACCCACCCCCCCCAGGTGCGTGACATCATTTATGGACGGCACTATACTCCGCCCATGGTCAAAGTGCAGATTGGAGATGCAGAGATGGTTGACGCACAGAACAAAATGGACAGGGCCAAGCACAGGGCCCTTGCGGTCTCCCTTCACAATGGGGGTCACGTCAAATGATGTCATTTTGACGGAGACAATTTGAAATCTGTCCAATGAGTACCGTCTGCTCTGCCGTAACGCGTTAGAAGTTGTGTATCTGAAGATCACTGCGTTATGGAAAAAAGAAAATCACGCGATAATTAATAATATATGAAAGAGGGTACAGTCCGCGACCGCACGAGGAGATGCGCACGCAGGCCGAACAAAGTCTGAGGCACATGGGTAGCATCTAGAAGCATCCAGCAGCATCCCGCCTTTGTGTGATGATGCTACGCCGAGATGCCGCACGACCGCTTACTCCTGCTCGCGCGACGTGGTTCCGTTCACTCCATCGCATCATGTCCAACTCGCGTCATGCAAACATGCGCTATGGGAGAATAGACTGTGGTTGTGAATCCAGTTGATTGCGTGGTCCACAGTGAAGTTCAACCCGCCACCACCAGACACAACCAATA